AAAGAAAATAAATCTTACAAATTATATCACATTGCTTGCCAGGTTTACTCTCTAATGTGAAAACTGCATATTATTGCTGATTGTGTTTAGCAAATATATATAAACAAGGTCTAATATTATTCTATAGTTCAGCAGTGATGCATGTGGAGCTAAAGATGCAGACCCCACTGTGTTAATGGCATACATTAACCCGTGAAAGCCATGTGTATAAATGGGGCGATTGTGGTTGAACACATTGTTCATTATTACAACAAAGGTGAATAGGACTAACAAAGCCCGTCAAATGAGAGACAGAACATCTTGAAACATGTCCATTTACCTTTGACTTACTATTACTATATACAGTATGTCTCTGTTAAGACAAACCAAACACTTTGGCACTGGCAACAGAGTGGAAGCTGTGAGAGAGGGGCCCCTCTATGGTCTGTGTCCAACACTGATAAACTGGCAGACTCCTCCAGCAGCTCCTCAGTTCTGCACTCCACTCTGCTGAAACCCCTTGCCTCCATAGCAATAAAGACAAACAGCATACGTTTATCATCAACAAAACCTTCTTTGCATCCAAAACATCGACATTGTCTGCTCTCTCTATGCAAAATTGTATCTCAGCTTATATTGCTGTGTCTTGCGTCCTGTGTCCTTGTTTGACTGCTGTATATTGCACATCCACATGTTTACTTTACTAATCACACATATGTGTGTATGAGATCTGTATCAAATACTATGTGCACACTTTAACTTCATAGTTTGCCCCACTTAGTCCACAGATGTGTTTTGACTCCATGGACAATGATTGCCAGAGAGGGTGCCAGTGAACTGAAAGCGAGCCATTTGCACACATAATAGTGAGCATGCACGCAAACATATACAGTGCACATACACGTTTTCTGGAGCTCAGCGAAGCAGCCTGCAGATTCAGCTGTGTTCTTAGCTCACCGTCCCTCTCCAATGACATCATACCCTGACAATGCCACCATTCATACAGATGTTGCTTACAAAACCTGGAGTAAGACTCCTATTGTGTGTGCTGCTCCTCCTCACAACAAGAGGTTTAGCCAGAGGTGCTCCCCTACTACGGTGGAGGAAAATGAATGGAACACGTAATAGGCTTACCATGTATGCTAATGGTTTAACTGCTTACAAATTACTTCATACTGAGCTAATCTCTCAATCAATCACAGTGTAGCAGAATTGAAAACTGACACATCTGTTGCTGCTTCACAAGTTTTCTTTTTTTGGATTTTCTGAACAGAATATGCATGTAACTTTCAAATGTTGTTTGTGTTTAGGGCAAAACTTTATTATATTTAAGCCTATTAGGCCGAACGCCTGTTGCAAGTCTGTAACTATACTGAAACATAAGAACAGCAAAGGTTGTGTAAATTAAATGTAAAAAGCTACAGAAACACTTTGATTATTGGTCCTCCTGTGTCCTATGAAATGTTTCTTTAAGAGACACACTGTTTTTTTCCCTCCCCAAGTAAAAAGGAGTACATTTAGAGCATGCCAGGAATTATGTCATCCACCCATTTAGTGCCAGCTCCGCAGCCAAGAGAGCTGCAGTGAAGGAACATATAGTATTGTTTACCTCATAAAAAACTCAGCACCTAGCCTGATGCTTAGTGACAAATTTATTGTCCTTAGTAACAATGTAAACAATAGATAATTGGGAGATAATAAGTAACACATTTTCATACACGGGCCCCTTTGTCTGACATTAGCAGGCAAGCAGGATGTGCGGAAAGCATGGAGCTCATTTAAAAGGGACACAAAAACAATGCTGAATTCTACCACTTTAAAAAAAGGGTCCCACTGACATGAGCTGAGTCATGTCCCATAGTTGGGACTTGCAGATGTCATTTAGAACCAGCTTGATAAGGGTTTGTTTGGACTTCCCTTGTTACAGATGACAAATGAAAATAAAAGTCTTTCATCATACAAACAACAATATCAAACCATCTGAGCAAGAGAGGAAGGTTTTCAGAGGACAATACAGTGGACGTATGCCAGTATGCACGTATGCACGTATGCGTTTATATAGTACAGTATGTGAATCTCCAACGTCATGGGTGGAAGTAACAAATTACGTTTATTCTCATTACTGTAATAAAGTTGTTGTTTTTTGTGTAGTCTGTGTCCTGAGAGCTGACACATTGAACGTACATGTTCTAAATGTAAATGTTTACTGGCTGAGTGTCAGGGGGTGATAGGTGCAGTCATTCCTGGGAAGTTTGGCATAGCAGTTTGTGAACAGTACGGCAATGTTATGTCATTATGGGTTAAAGTTAGCATTATCACCCCATCACCCCCCATCCCCATTACCTTTATCTATGTACATTTTTAGTTATTTTATTTTTACTTTTGTGAGTAACAGTACTTTTACTTGAGTAAAATATTCTAGTTCTCTTTCATCCCTGCTCCACATATGTGCATGTGTTCTGTGCATGTGTGTACATCTCATTTGTCACTTGTTTTTAAGAACCTGACTGTCCCTACGTGTATGAATGCCTGTGGCTGTGACACCATGCGAGGAGGATGACACAGAGCTGGACCAGTCCGTGTGTGCGTGTGTATGACTGTTCGCAAGGCCCTGTGGAGGACTGGCTGTGAGCCTTGATGTAATGCTTTGGCCGGCGTGCTGTGGAACTTGGCCTCCTCTCTGCAGCGTTTCCTCTATGCTGTGAGGGTCAACTATCCCACAACCTCCAGCACACAACACGCACCATTCTATTCCCAAGACCACAACAGAGCAGAACACAACCACACCCGGTACCATGAGCACCCAGTCCTTCACAAGAAGAAAAATACTTGAACCAAAACTAATAAAACATTGCAATCTCAGCAACACTCCCAGACAACAAGCTAAAAGCAATAAGGGAAAACATACAAGTCAGTTACTACACCACCAGGCTTTGCTGTACCACTTAAATGCTGGCACTTAAGGAGAAAATCAGAGATAGAGAAGAACAAAAATGGGCAATGATGCAGATACAGTCTTTCATCCAGAGAGCACAAACAGAGAGCTTAGAGCGAGATATGAGTCCCCAAGGGGCCACAGCAGTCCTTCGGCTCATTAACTATTTACACCAGAGACAGGCATCCCTGCTGCTCTGGCCCACCACAAAATCAATTAGCCTTCATTAGCCCATGCTCTGGGCAGGCATTCTCTGGCAGGGGAGGGTTAATTCTGCTTCCAGGGCCTCCAGTTACCACAAAATATCAAACCATCAGAAGCGCACACATATGGACATACATGCATACATGCATACATGCGTGCAGAGGGGCAAAGGAAACTAGGCCGAGCAGAAGTCCTGTCGTGTCCCTCACAAAGAATTCTTCCAATTTCAAACTCTCACTCACTTTTCAGTGTCTCAGAATATCAATACTGTCACTCGCCTTTCAACTCCCCTGCTCACTTTGCCTGTCTCTCTATTTCCTTCATGTCTATCAAAGGCCCACTCAATCCCCTTCTCCGCTCTCACAATGTAAACGTTGAGCAGCAAGAGTGCATCCAGGTCCGTGCCTTGGGGGTGTGGGGTTACAGTGCGGAGATTTCCCATTGGTGGAAAGTCAACATGGTCGGGGTAATGAGATTAGAGCCGGATTGAGAACGTCGCAGGGGACACATGGGCCTGATCATGGCCCAGTTATCCGATAGCGAGGCCGTATTTATCGACCTGGCCCGGGCGCGGATATTACAGACATTAGAGACCCCGTCTATGCTTATGAAACCCTCACTGGAGATCGCACCCTGATAACACAATTAGTCTCTCACTTTCTGTCCACAATCATGGAATTCCATCAGTTGCGTTCAGACATCAGGGATCAGAATCTCAATTGATCCACATTTGGTTGCTGTGCATTGTGTCTGAATGGCCAACTAACCAGAAAGTTGCATGGTCGAGGGGCCTGTACCCATTTAGTGACTGCATATGTTTATGGGAGGCCTAACAGAGCATTTACAATTCAATTACATAGATAGGAGGAGAAAAAAAAGAGTAAGATGTGTCTGGATGACGGCCAGAGGAGAGATAAGCCTAATACACTAATATTGTGTTACCCCAGTGTGTTACCATAGGAACAGTTGAAGAGATTCAAAAGACTACAAAGACGATCAATCTTGAGAGAGCAGGAGGAAGAGGGAGAATTAAATGCCCTGGGAATGCTCCCGCTCTCCTCTATCAGAGCAATAACTCTTCTAATGACCTCTGCTACTCCCCCCCCACTCCCTCCCCCAACAAGATGTTTCTCTCCAGCAAACTGAGCTATCGGCGAACCTTTCCAAACGCAAAGAGCAGCCAGCACTTTTCATTATGGTGTGTGATTTTTTTGATATCCAAGTCATGACAGTTATTTATTTTGAAAACAAAGGTTGGCTGGTGGTCATGTTGCTACAGTACTTATCAGTTCATATCACCTAGAGTGTAACTGTTCATCCATTTCACATTAATCAAAGGTATACTGCTTGTCACTGGCATCAGTATTAGCAAAACAAAAAAAAAGTGTAAGGTTTCTTTCTCTTCTGCTTTTTCGTCTTTCAGTCTTCTATTCTTATTTAACTTTCAAAGCCCGTGTCCTTTCTGTCTCTCTCCTCTCACAGCTACGTCTCATTCCCACTGCTCTAACTGCCTGCTTTGTGAAGGATGAGGTCATTTGATTTTTTCCCTGCTGTGTTAAACTAGTGCTAACAAGTTGCAGGACCTACAGAACATGTTCTGTACATTAAGATATACATCAGGCAGTCGGTGGGCAGCCCAGCCACAACCACATAAAGGGCTCTTTATTCCAGTCAGAGTCTCCAGTGCTGCACTGGCAGGTTCAGACACAGCTTTGATTACACACCAAATGATGAAATCCACACAGACCTAAGAGCACAGCTTTGCTGGCACAGACCAGTGGAAAAGCGAGGTTGCAACACTTTGAGCTTGAGTGTGTGCACTTGTGTATGTGTGTGCATAAATGTGTATGTATCCATGTGAATACATGCATAATATACTTACCAGTTTGGCTTCTGAGTGCATGGAGGGAATGTGAGTGGAAGAGCAAGAGCTGCTGTGGGTGGGTCCTTGCATACCCATCATATTGGAGCCCATGGACATTTGTCTCTCCATCTGAAGAGTATAACAACAGGATATCAGTCATACTCACAAGTGTATACATATTATTCCCATAATACAACCCTTTTTCTATTTAGCTCTGATCTATGCTTTACATGGGGATTTTTATGTCTTAACAAGATGCTATCACCAAAGAAGCTTTGGCATTGAACGTGTGAGACTAATTTTCCTGCACAGTAAGCTGTGGGGGATGAGATGAGAGAGCATGAGATACTGATTTCACATGACAGGCTGCCCCGTGCACAGCTCTGTGTGATGATAACTGGAGCTGACCCAAAACAGGAAGCAAGCAGAGAGGGACTTAACACAGGAAGCTGGTGCAACGAGGGTGTGTGTGTTTCTGATAATAGTGCAGTGAGTGTCAGAAAGACCCCTTGGTGCAAGATGTGCTATTAAGGTGAACAAGCTGTTATTAGGTGTGCGTTAGTTGTATGAATGCGTTAGAATCTGTCTTTGTGTGTGTACCTCTGAGGTACCGTGGTCAGTGTGGTCCTGTGTCACAACTAAAACCTGAATGTAAGGAAATCAGCTGGTTGAGCTGACAGGAGTGAGAGGTCATCTGTGCAGGGTGATGATGTGAGCAGTGCTCACTGAGCAGTATATGCAGGAAAGAAGAAACCTTTGTGTGAGAGCCTGCATGCATACATGTGTGAGCCGCTGTGGCCTCCCAGCTGCTGAACTCTGATTGGTGTGGTGGTCTCCATGGGGAATGGCCCCTCACCAACCCCCTTTGCCTGACCCCCGCTCCCCCCCCTCATCCACAGAGACTCGGGCCTAGAACCTGACACACAGCCTTAATTGCACTAAGTGTGTTTTGTGTAAAAATATCACCCAAACCTGCACCCCTTTCCTGAACCGTCAATCTTCACCAAATATCGCTTAGCTCTTAATTTAATAAACATGGGTGGTTTTTTTTCCCATACCATAAACACAGGCTGTCTTGTATTACAATGAGAACACATATTGTATCATTAGAATCCTGATATGAGGAGCTTTCTCTGGGTTGTTATCATTCCCTGTTTCCCAAAGTGGTACAATAAAGTCTACTTTCTATTCTATTTCTATTTATCATTTTAGTGGTGACAGAAAACATCCCAAACTGCAAACCTACATAGTTTGTGTGCAGTCTGTTTTTACACTGTTGTCACACTGTTGTAAGTGAGTGACTCTGCTTCTCCATGTGTGGGTACACCCATGAGCGAATGTGCTCAGTGCGCCGTTGTTTGTACTCACAGGCATCAGCACAGCAGAGGAGCCAGGCATGGTTGGGTCTGGCAGAGTTCCAGGCATGGAGGCTGGCAGAGGCTGTCTCTGTCTGTTTCGTAGGTGCAGCAATGAGGACAGAGAGCCGGGGACAGGCCTGAGAAGACACACACAGACAGACATTCAGAGAACTTCAGAGCCAACTGCCACTACCACTACCACCACCACTATGGTGCTAATTATTACTTCTCCTATTAAGCCAACATAACTGGTGCTTAAACACATAATAACTGATTGATAACACAGTATGTCATACCAGTATTAATATGTAATAATATGCGGTTACGCCCGTCAAAAAGCCTTACAGTGTGTTATAAAACTGTTTATACACCTGTACAAATCATTCACAGGCAGGTTTTAAACTGTTTATAGATGTAGTAAAACTCGTGAATACATCAGTGAGCCTGAGGGTTGACTCTTCACCTCAGAAGCAGTTTCAGAAAAGAAACAAAGTTGAAATTCAAGGTCCACTTTGCAGATTTCTTCCAGTGCTTTTAGACACACCATTATCAATACAAAACAAAACAAAAAAGTACCAACTCTGTCACAGACCTCTAATTGAATTTTAATAGTCCTGGAGGGAAAGCTGTAATCGTCATACTGGATTTTGTTCATGGTGGACCTGACCCTGCTGGCTGCAGCACCATGTTTGGTGCAGAAGCTATCGACAAAGAGCATTACACAGCAGAGAACCCTTGAACTATTGCAATTCTTCAAAGTGAGATCACGAAAGAAAATCTTAAAAATAAAAATGATTAATTATTTTATACATTTTTTGTTTCACATCTCTGCTTTTTCAGAGCACATGTTTTCTCCAACTTATTGCTTTCTTTTTTTTTGTTTCTGCAGCTACAAAGTCAGAATGGAAAACAGAGCGTGTGGCTGTGTCTTCATGCTGCAATTGACTGTTGAAGCATCTTGGGAGTTTTTGGATGCACTTTAAACAGGCACACTTCATGTAGTACAATAGATGAATAACTGTGATGATTGTGATGATGAATGAATAATATTTGTCATAACAACCACATGAGATGTGCATGATGAGAATTGCATTTAGAGACTGCTACAGCGGTGGAAGCCCTGAGGGTAGAAAATCCCCCTAGGTCACCACAAAAGCGTGTGTGGACCAACAGGCCTATCCACACTCACGGCCACATCAATAAATCACATGTACAGATGAGGCCCAGGCTGAGCTTAAACAACTGACAACAGTCCTGTCACAGTCACTAGCACAGGGCTGCAGCCATTCAAACACCCAGACCACTCCATCTGCATGTGGTGACATCATTTATACAACTGCCACCAAAAGCCTGCTTGTAAGAACAGTGATTCCCAGCTGCAGGGTGCAGCTACACTCACATGTGCACAGTCTCTAAAAAATGTGTTCACCACTTGATTCTTAAATAATAACCTGTTTCAGGAGAATCAATAATTCTCTAGTTATCAGTATCATCAGGATGAGTCGATAAAGATTCATTTCCTTTAGTAAGGAGTAAAAGAAGCATTTAGGTTAGCTGTGCTCTATGGGTTAATGTAATCAGTTGACCACATCATAGCCTGGATTACCGTAATAGTGAGTAGTGAGGGAGTGATGGCCAAATGGGGGAGAAAATGGTGCCCCACCTGAATAAATACCTGTATTTTTCCAGACCTAAATATGTGCATTTACGCTCCAGACATTATAGATTGCTCCACACACACAGGACCATTACCATCCCTGACTGTGTGTCATTCCTGTCTAACATCCCAATTTATCACAATCACACTCATTTAACAGCACGTCTGACATGTGAGCAACACCGCGAATCCAAACATTTCCACATGGGAAAAGTCATGAAAGTACAATGAGGTATGCAGTGTAGCGGCGCGCTACATCAACATAGTTTTCCCTCTCCGTTTAGGCTCTGCCAGCGTCCAGGAGGATGAAATAACAGTCACGTGGCAGTGACACGCTGATGATTTTGTAGATAAAAACTGTTTTTTATTCAGCATGTTGACTGTCTCGGGGGGGGGGTAAATTTAAATACTTTTCAAATGTCACTGTAAAATGTTCGTTATTTAGATCTTTTTGCACACCTGTGTATACAGCTAATCATTGGCTTATCCACAGGAAAAGTAGTATGCAAAGGTTCATAGTGGCTTACAATGAATTGATGCAATGAGGTTGCTGCTTCGGGTTCCCAGATGGCATAGTGCCAGTCAACTGTTTGTGTTTTCTGGTGTTCCTACATGTAAGACAACTGATCTACAATTTTATGTGTTGCTTTGATGAGTCAGAGAACAGCACCATAGAGGCATCAACCAGCCCTAGGAGGAGATGTTCTCATTCCTTATCCAGATCCAGAAAACACTGCTGCAATAGCCTACATATGAAATGTTGTGAACCCTCTTGTGAGTCTGAAATAAAGTTTGACTTGAAATTAAATACAGTATATAGTCATACATTTAAATGTCCAAGACCATTAGATTTAGAGTAATGTGGCCGACAGATTGCCCAGAAAAGGTTTTAAAAATGGATATTGGAAGTAATTGTATGTAACTATTTCCAGTCCAGTGTGTGCCATTCCTCTACTGGTGATTAAAAAAACGTATATATAATAACCGCCCGGTCAATGAAATGCTGTAAGATGCTGATATTTATATATAAGGAAAGTTAAATCAGACTGCAACTGACCAACTAAGAGGCCTGGACAAACTTCATGTCTGTCTTCATTCAAAATAAGACAATAAATTGCACAAGCACAGAGCTACTTGTGACAGTCCATAATTTGTAGAGGTTGGTTCTCAGCACATGCTGGTTGTTGCAGGTCAGGCTCTCGCTTTCTTTGAAGCTTGTACAGGTTACACTGCTGCGCTTGTCTGCTAGCAGTGCTCACCTGCTACAGAGTAGGGGGAGGACGAACACTGTATCCGTCACCTGCTTGTCCAGTGGGAGGAAAAACAAATCTGTTCCTCTGAGCATTAACTCATCTTTGTGCTGGCTCTGCTGATAAATAGACATTACAGAGTGACTGCAGGCAAAAAGCCACTATTAATGAATGTAATAATTTTGTTACAGCAGTCACTTATGAATGTGACATTATAAATATTTTATATGCATTACTGTATGTTGAATGATTAATTGATTAAACGATTAGGAAATTCAATTGGGATAACCAAAATAATCATTTAAGTTAAAATAAAGAAGATGTCATATTGGGTTCTTATGAACTTATGGTAGGCACTTGACAAGTATTCGGCAGATTAATGAATCAATAATGAAAGTAGTTAGTAAGTTGCAGCCCATATCAACATACTTTTAATTATTTCAGTATCATTTCAGCTTTAGCATATACATATGTTAATAGCATTCTAATTGAGGTCTTACAAAACATGTTTCTTCTTTTTAGTTCTCTCCTGCTTTCTCTGTTTACATCTGTTTGCTTGTGATTACATTATACACCAGAGTGTACAGTGGATTAGTGGATCCATGTTCATAGTGCCGGCGTGTAAATGTTCATGAAGTTGTGTGTGTGTGTGTGTGTGTGTGTATATGTGAGTGAATAATGACAGGCTGTGGCTCCACTGAGGGGATTGATAATAGCCTGGGCTGTGGGCCCCAGGGGAGAGCAGGTAGACACTCTGCAGTCCTGACCCTGCACTCTCACATTACTGAGTGCCTTGCTCTCAGCCCAGCTCTCTTCCACAATCCCCGCCCAAGAACCACCACCGCACCACCCCTCCACCTCTCCCGCCCACCTTCACTCCACCATGACATCACTGCTAGACCTTCTTCCCTCCCTGAGTCCCTCTTTTTGCTTTTTATCTCTTGTTCCATAGACTATTTCCCTAAGTTATCCTGCTATTTTTCTCTCTGATGGAGCAGAACTGACAACGGTTCATTGTCCTGTTAATCCTCTATAACTCTTTTCTGGATCCCTCACAGTGCCCACACCTCAACTCCAGCCCCCGATGGACTTGCTTGCTCTGACCCACAAATCCTGCAGTCTCCACACACTAGGCTTTACTGTCCCAATCCCCACAGTCCCAACTCAAGTACTGGGGACTTAAACACAAGGGGCTTGGCTGCCATCCAAGAAGAACGAGAGAAAGAGAGAGAGAGAGAGAGACGGAGAGAGGTGCATTCAGTCCACTGACTCATATCCTTCCCTTTCTGACTCTGCTCCAGCAATGATGTAATGCTCTTGGCTTTTCGCCCTCCCCCCACCCTGTGCCTGCCCACCCCTAGATTTTGTCCCTCCCTCCTCTCCTCCTCTCGCTTTTCCCTCTCTTTCCCTCCTTGACTCTTCCAACATCTCTGCGCTCACTCCTCGCTGGGTGAAGTCACTGCGAGCTCTGGGTAGACACAGCAGCTAAAAACTTTTGAACGTAACCAAAGCAGCCCAGGGCTAAGTTCCAGACGTTCGGGAGACGGTGGTGCAGTCGCCATGGGAACGAGGGTAAACAGAGGGAGAAACAAGGGCCTCAAACAGCTTGCAGCTGCCTGGCTCTCTGAGTAAACACTACACAGGACCTGCCCCTGATTTACTGCCTTTAATCACTGGTGGGAGGAGAGTGCCATGGGGTTTGGACTGAGGAAATAATACGAATCTGATCAAATAAATCAGCTCTAATGGGTTACGACACAGGCTGACTTTTATTAGTGGGCTAGAGGAGGGATGGATGCTCCACTGGGATGGATCAGGGATGGGGTGTCCTCACATTAGGGTGCCTCAAGCTGAGTAAAACCATGCCAAAGCACAGTTGAGAAATGGTGGTGGATGATACAAATTAGCGTGAGTGTTAGTTATGAGCGGTATTTATTCACCAAATATGATATTGTTTTGATTCATAAGACGTCATTGGCTGGGGACAGCAAAGATGGGTTGTCTTTCGTTTTCAACTCATGTAAAAAGCATGTCAGTACATTCCTATCACAAGTGAATCAGAAAAAAAACTGTGCAGCAACAATTGTGTCATATTGTTACAAGCTAAACTGGTATCTGTCAGCAACACCTAACAGGTGTTTTAACATTTGGCATTGACCGCCCCTTTCACTTTCAGTGATAATTAATCCTTCTCCCTCTTCATATCTTCATCAAAACATGACTACTTATTAGCATGTATGTCCCCCTCCTCCTTAGCCGACTTCTCTCCTTCTCATCAGCCACCTGATTCCTGTCTCTTGTCTGCCTCATCCTTCTGTCTCTCATTCAGTTTTCCATCCTCACTTTTCTTTCATAATCTCAGTTTTGTCCATACTTCCATGCCCCAAACATGATGTATCTTTTCCTTGCCTTGTACAGACATGTCTTTTATCCTCTCCTCCAACGGACTAGCCACCATCCTGGTAGAAAACCTCACATCTGATGCCTCTCTTCTCTCTCTCTCTCCTCCACCCTCCTGATCCTTCATTTCCTCTCTTCCATCTACCTCCTATCCCCTCTTCCTCTCCTCGATCCACCTCTGATCCCTGTCTTCCTCTCCTCTGTCCACCTCTGATCCCCTTTTCCACACTTCCCTGCATTGTGATCCCTGTGCTCCCCAGAGCTGTGAGGCATGTCCCTGTGTGTGAGTTGCTTTTGCAGGAGCCTGCATGTGTGGTGGCCCCGGGGTAGGGATGACACAGCCCCGCTGGAATGAGAGGGAACAGAGTCTGGGCGTTCCTCTACAAATGCACTATTAAACCCACTGCAGTACACAATGAGCTCATCTTAATTCAGGTCAGATGTACATCCTGCATTCTCTCTCTTTCTATTTCTCTCCTTCCTTTTTTGTAATTAATTATACTGTATACCTTTGTTTTTCTGTACCTTATTTGTTCTCATCTTCTCTCTACCTGCAACTACTCTACATTCATTAGCCCTACACTTTACACAACCTCAGGCATTTTGTAGAGATTCCGCGCTTCTGCACTCAGGACGGATCTCCCTCCTTATCACCACTTTCTGAATGCAATCTAATCATAAACAATAATAAAGGAAGTTTTGTTTAAATTGTGAAGTTCATGAGGTCAAAGTTTGTCCATGGAAAGCCCATTACTCTCTGTAGAGGAGGTCATTCTCTGACCTGGCACTGGCACAATGGGTGTTGAAATCAGCAGAGTTGTTTTATTGCATGCAAGGGGAGCAGGGTTATGCAATAACAAAATGTGATATGCAATGCATCCTGGAATCAAAATCATAAAAAAGACCAGCAACTCTGCATTTCCATCAATTAAGTGTACAGCATCAGTATATAATATACATTATATATGTAAACACCGGAATATTGCATCATTAAAATATACTGTATTCAACCGACCATGCACAGATTGCATTTGCATGGGCATTTCCTTTGTTTTCAAGATGTGAAGACTGATTGATTGATATGAAGATCATTATCTATATCATGCAAAAATATATTCAAATCTTTTACCCAGTGCTCCTAAATAATCAATAAGCATCTCACAAAATTTAAGACAACACAGGAAGTTTGCACCAATGTGTCACCCTACACTTGGGCTTTACATGAAACCCTGCAGCTTAGAAGACATGCAGACCATTATCTACTTGTGCTACTTCCCTTAAAGGCAAAAACAAGGACAGCATGAAGCTGGTGGCTCTGAGGTGTGAATAGTGTGCATTTAAAGCAACATGGGAAACAAAACCACAAATTGACTTCCTTCAGAGAGCTTTGCACGGTGATGTGACAGCCAAATTTAGTTGCACACAGTATGCCTGGGGCTGGTGCATTACAAGACAGATTTTAAGACAGAAGTTAAGTTAAATGTCAAACTGCAAATCAGTATAGTGGACTAATTGTATGTATGGTATGGAGTAAAAGGAATAGTTCATGTCACATTTGTGTAAGAATTAAATAATTCAGGAAAAATTGAGAAATATTGTCTTGGTTAGATGCTGACATCAACGGTTTTGAGGATTTTACTTTTTAGGTTCACCCAGTTCCCATTTAGCTAATAAAAGCACATCGTCATCTTAAATTGTCGATCTGTCGATATTTTATCTGTCCTATAATCATTCCTCACTTAATCCAACTGCATTCAGGTTTATTGAGCTATGTAATGGAAATAATTAGGCTGAATTCCTCTACTGAGCCAGAGTAGAAGAATGTCATTTTTATTGCCTTGTGCCCACACCCATACCCGCACATCTCCTCTTACGAGTCAAAAGGTTGAGGTTTACACAGAATGTTGTATCTCACATGGTTGACTAGTAATGTCCAACGCATTTAACTCTGACATAACTCAGCAACAGATGTTTATAATTGAAACGCAGAAAGCATTCAAATCTGTTGGACACCGCTTCCCTTTGTATGATAATGATAGCCATGACATTAAGATCTGCTGGCTGTTTCTTATGCCTGGTTTTAACACTGGTTTGTGTCAGTGTGGCTCCCCAAAGACCTTGTTTAGGGACTCAGAGCAGAAGGAGAGAGAGAAAAAGAGAGAGGTCCTCAGGTTTCACAGCTGCAGGCCCAGCTCAACCCTAAAGTAAATGGACTTGAGGAAAGCCAATCCTAATTGATTCCAAGCCTCAAAGCTCTTTGGTAAACATTGTGGAGCAATGAAAATGACTTGTTATCCTAATTCATTGGATGCTCACACTGTGCGTTCAGCAGGGCCGAGAAGGAAGCAGATGGAAGTGAGATTAAACTGACTTTGTTTGGTGATTTCTTTTTATTCAGAGACATATTTACCACACAGCTCCATAAAGTGCATCAAGATTAAAAGACTTATAGGCCTGCGATGATCACATCCACAAACCTTTCCATTCATGACAAGGATAACTGTTTCTTAATTGTGTCTCTGGTTGTTATGACAACAGGATGATTATACCAGGCGTCATAGGGAACCACTGATCTGACCCTCCCTAACTATCAATCTGGACAGAGCACAGTCAGCCTGTGAAGTGTCCAGCTTGTTCTGTGTGTAGGAAGTTCCTGTGGAGAAACCCTGTGAACGGAGCCTTTGGTTGGCCCTAATGGTTTCCTGTGGAAGCACTGCTTCTCAGTGTAGGGGTTTCCTCAACCCATTTTCCTGCTGATGTGAACATTTCCAGATCAGTTTTCTCTTGTGTGAATCTACTCATCCTATTCATGTGTTAGGATTCCATCGTACAAGTAAAAAAGTGACTCCTTTTAGCACATACAAGCACAGCTTGGGGAATGCCTTAAATGACAGATAATTAACAGATAACAGATAATTGTAGTTGAGACTTATGTGCCATTCTCACCACATGGCAAACCAGCTCTAGCTTTCAAGTGATGTGTTTCTTTGTATGTGTAAGCAGTAAAACTACCAGTCTCTCAACAAATCCGTGAGAGATTTGTGATCATAAAGAACTGTGAAGAGAAGTGAAGTGGGGAGTCTGTGCTTTAGCAAGGTGAGGAGTTTTTAATGATAGGTAAACTCAGGTGACGAAGGCCCAGCAAAGTCTCTGTTACTGGCAGTGATTGCTGCTCCTCCAAGGGGATGAAATTCCAACCCTGTCCTCGACAAAGAGCCTGACGGGGTGTCAGTCAGGCTTAGTGATGGGCCTCCCATCCAATATTCACTAGCTCCTCAAGCTACAAATCTACACAGGGCAACCTCAACATAGCACAGGCCTAACACTGAGCCATCTCAATGTCTAACTTGCTTGCCACAGGTCTGGTTTACAGTAACAAAGCCTTGGCACAAGTCTGAAGTTGGTTGGGGTTAAGGGACAGGGAATGAATGAGGTCAGTGGAGTGTCTTCATAAGGAAGAAAGTGTGTATAAATGTTTGTGTGTAGTAATTATTATGTTATTGATATATAAAGACAGTATGTCAGTAGAGGGAAAGACATTACCCTCAAAGAGATGGTAGCCCCATCACAGTTAGTAGAGTTTAAAAATGAACACAGGGTCTGACGATTAAAAATGCTTTAAACTCTATCAACTATTCCTTGTCCACTAAACACTGCATTTAAATAATGAAGCAACACTCCACACAGATTGTTGTTAATATATTGTCTATATGTGTTGTTATTAAACACCTGTAGCATGGCAGTGCACATTTATCAGAGAAACAGAGCTATAAGGTTGTGCCTGACATTCCCATACAGTGAAAGGAACTATTTTAGAGCATGAAATGCTAAACCGTTGTAAAAGCAGTCGCGACTGAGGCTTCAACAATGACCTCATCTTGTCCTGTGGGACCCTTTTTGGCATGCAGTGCTGTGGGACAATACTGAATGAACAGCAAAACATGAATCGCCGGCCCCACACACACTGCTCCAAATGTAACAAAACATTACCTCAGAGACTATGGACGGATGACACTCAGCAAGGACACAAAGGGACCAGGCCGAGCCTAAGGCTGTTGCTGTAATGTAGGCGCACTTGAGGTGAGAGGATACACCCTGACCACAGAACGTCAGATAATTTGTCGTTCTCTTAACAGTGCCTCTACTACACTAAATATTTTTCCCTCTCTTTCTGTTCAAAGTCTAATAAAAATACTCTGCCTACTCACCCTATCTGTCTGTTGGTGGATGGAGCCTGAGTGATGACGGAGCTAGACTGAGGAGAGGGCAAGGCCTGCTGGATCACTATGCTGGTATCATGGTTGCCCATCCGTGAGTGGGAATGCTGGTGCTGGCCTTGGCCTGCCTGGCCGTGCAGTGAGATATTCTGCAGCGGGAAAGGGGAGAGAAAAGCAAGCGGGACATTCAAGGTTAAGAATCTGTCAAGAGTGTAACCTCCTTCCAGGCAAGATGTATTTTCAGCACAACTCAAACAATTACAACGGTTTGGCCTTGGGCTCCATTCACCCAGCTTGAATCGGTAATGAGGAACTAAACTATAATCTCCGGGCTTTTTCTGAGTTGACTCAGGGAAACATTGAGAGTCTAATGAAGACGTTGCCTTATTGTTATTTGCCTATTAGGACAGTTTGTTTGTTTTACCTACCTATTTATACAAATATTGTAACAGCATATACATTCCAAAATACCCTCGACTGTAAGTAACAATATATCTCCAAGCTCAACTCACATATAGTGCCATAAAACAAACAGGAAGTTGAAGTAATTTGCATTGAGTCAAATGTGAAACAGCCACTGGTAATGATTAAATGGGAGGATACAGACATTCACAACACTTAAAAATACTTCACCTGACAACAAGTAGTGACCCAAAAATAACATGTAATTATTGAGGAAATTAAAGGTTTATTAATAAACTAAATCACTCATTCTTCAGCTCATATTAGAGTGTCTGTAAATGAATATGGGATATTTTATTTTCATATTGGCTGATTGCTGTTTTCCTGAAGTTTTAAGCTTTCACTCTTTATCTCTGCTTATTGTGCTATGCACTCTCCCAGAGAGTCTTGCTCTGACTCGCCTCCTGCTGACTTAGCAGAGCCTCCCATCATAAACCACACAGGCTGCAGAGGCTAGACGAGGATGACCTGAGCACAGACGAGCTCCAGAGCCAAACCACCCAGACGACAGCTTAGCTACAGTGTGAACTGCACATCTTTCTAGACATTAGATAAGCAGTCTGTCTTGTGGTGATTTGACTAGTACCCATGTTGCAGGTAAAGGTATCTCAGGAGAGATCTACAATGCATAAATGACCACGTATTTTGTCAAATGCCAAAGCTTTGCGTCTGTGCTCACATGTGACAATGTCTGGCCAGGTCTTTTATTGCTGCCACAAAAGTTGTCTCAGGGGTCTGTCTTTACATCTGGGAAGAAATAGGACTCCCTCCCTGAGAGATGGCTTGAGAGCTTTTGAAGTTACAGGTGGAGAACCAGATCTCATTTCTCCTTACCTTTGGTGGGTGACAAATCTCCACCTGAGCCCTGTCTGTCACTGTCAACAAGACTAATAGGGACTGGGGAGCATGGCTTCCGGGACACAACAAAAGCTGCATAAGAAACTTATGACTTCAGTACACAATATCTATGGTTATCAGCTTTTTGACAAGTGACCAAAGTGTGATTTCATGAGGTGTTTTGTTTCTATTAATGTGTGTAACACCTAACATGTGTGAGCTGCTGTTAATGACGTGACTAATGATAGCGCCAGATAACAGTTCATAACCACCTGACCTACCCACTGTGGGTGGCTATGGAATTTGGTTCACCTAGGTTTTTTTCAGCCTTAGGCTTTGCTCTCTACCCTGCAGTACCTGTTTATTGTCCTCTTCTTCCTGGGCCTTGCAAAACTCCTGCTCAATGGAGCAGTCCAGTTCACTGAACAATCCCACCTCCTCACAGTTCTTCAAGAAGCGTGTTGGTGTGGGCGTCTGGTCTGGAAATCAAGCAAATGTTTTTCAAGTTTTAGCTTTGAAATCTATTGTTAATAGTGGCTGTGCATACAGTACAGCATCATGTTTGGGGAATTTTCCATTATTTTTAATTCTATTTTATCCTTTTAATTTATTTATAAAGGGACCATGTGCAATAATTAACACCGCAGTTAGCTTAAAGCTAATTTTCATTATCAGCTCCTTGGCAGGTCACAATTGAAACATACATACAATGACAGAACAGCAACAAACAAACAGGACCCATGATACAAAATGATACACAACAGTACATAACAAAAACCAAATTAGCAAGAAGTACAGTATATTTTAAGCAAAGATACGTGTTTGTACTGATTTCACCAGATTTGACCGTTTGTTTTTATTTCATAGTATAATTTTTACCGTTTATCCACTGTTTGACAAGGAAAACACTTCACAAAAGCCAATGGAGATCTACCTTAAGACTAAAGTGTAATAATTTACATTGTTGTTACATATTTGCAATGATTTTGAGAAAACATAACTTCTATTCTGTTAGTGAGAGAGAGATCCTACGCTTGACAGGCCCATTTCAGCTGATAAAGTACAGATCCCACCTACTGAGTGGGGGTCTCATTTGTAGAGCTCAGTCAAGCCGCGGTATTCAACTTGATGTTGGGGGGTGCACAAAGATCAGGTTTCAGACAGTTGAAGGTGATTTTAGGATCAGTCTTGTTTCAAAGGCTAAAAGCATACTTCGTAGGCTGTTTATCCATTCTGGCTAGACTGGGGATTGACTCAAACTTTCATCATGACCTGTGTACCTCAAATACAAATACGTTTTTTTCAATTTTGGTTGAGAATGTGACAAGCTTTATTAATAAAAAAGTGAGTAATGTCAATTTTTAGTTGAGGATAACACCTAGGAGTCAATGATAAGATTAGCAAATGGAGCAGGAGGTTAACTTTAGCTCAACAATTATAGTACTAAGAGTGGATCATTTTTTACAAGCCATGTCTGTTTCATCTTAAGTTCAAGGTCTCAATAAGAGAAATGGTCAGAGCTCAGACAGCAGGCGATAAGAACACCCGGCCTAGAAAATCTGATCCCGCCGTCCACTGAGTGTAAATAATAAAGAAGACACAATCTCGGCAGCGTGGCTAGAGCAGTTCACACTGTTGTCTAGTGTGGCCTGGCCATTTCTAGGAATGGACATCTATACGTATGGATCGGCCTTGGGTTGACACTCACACATGCAGTGCACATTCTATGATTTCATGTTTTTGAACAGTAGATTTTTGTGCTAATTAGTATGTCACCTGGGGCTTACGCACCCCACCATCCATAAAACCATTGGAAACCATCTCCCACTGCCACTCTATAGTAAGATCATTACTAATGACACCAAAATGCAAATCACACAAAGTAACAGACAAGAGGGATTTAGCTTAAAATTCAGATTTCTCCAGTCATATGTCAGCATCTCTCTTCTCCTGAGATGTGTGTCAGTGGTATCCACTGAATAGAGCTGAGCTGCAATGTAACGTGTGTCATATGATTTACATGACTGTAAACAACTCGTATGGGCATGCCATGAAGTTTTCTGATGATAGACAAGTGTGTCTGAGCATGAGTCACCAAGGCACACACCTGAAAATGAACTACAAGTTCCACATGAACTGTGCCGAGGTAGTGTGTGAGTCTGCACTGTCGTAACTCACCTGATAACATGTTGTCGTTCTTTATGGAGGGGAACTTAAGGGTCATCTCATGTTTGTGTCGATGTATCATCAGATGGTCCTCCGTGGGAAATCGCTGGTGAATGTTTTTAAAGCAGGATTGTAAAAATTGTATGTACAAAGACATATAAATGTTCACCGATTTTAAAACAAATACGCACTGCAACTTTTAAATCAAAATAACATTCACTGTTATACTCCATTTAAAGAGCACATCCTAAAAGAACATAAACCCTGGTGTTGACTTAGTATTTTTACACCTGCAGCGTTATTTACGGTTTATGTTTCACTCAGTTCCATGCTGTTTCTCCCTTATGTATGGCGCAGTAATATACTCCTCAGCCCCCCTCAATGTACACCTCTTCATATTACAAGGAGAAATATACACAGACACACACACACACAAGCACATGTACACCCTGTCTTGCTTTGTCTCGACACACTCACCTGAGAACAGCCAGGAGCGTTGCACATGAACGGCCTTTCCTGGTCTGAGTTCATCACTCTGGCCACCTTCTCATAAAACTACAAAAAAAAAAAAAAAAAACAGGTGACAGGAAGTCAGTGGTTTGAGTTTCCCCGCCTGCATCCAAGAGGAAAAATACACTCATTGTTTAACCGCTGACATAAAACTACCATTGCACCTAAAACAGTTATGTGGTTATTTTCAGTAATAAACATACAGTTTTCTCACTAACCTAATACAGAGTTTTCAAGGACTGGACACTTGATTTAATGAGTTCAGGAAAAACTAATGTATGCATTTAAATACTTACTTAGACATATATCCATTCATGACCAAAAATTGATGTATTGTTATAGCACTCATACAACATGCAATTACTGTTAAACTCAATGTTTGGATTTTGACATGTTTCAGCTCAAATTTGGATGGGAACAATGACATGATCAACCATGTTGGAAATTTCTAGTCACACTCCAACATCATGCTGAAACCAACTCCTTCAAATGTGTATTCTTACCACAAAGTGACAGAATCTGGTCTAGCACATATAGCTGTTGGTCTGACAAATACATGTGAAAAATGCCTCTTCACTAATTTACCTATACATTGAGACAAATTGAACTGTAAATATAAGGCACTTAAATCTCATTGAATACCTTTTTCAAAAGTATTTCAGTAATAATTAAGTTATTCAGTTGTTATACATAGTAGAATATATATTTATATATAGTGAGAACAAGAAAGGGAAGTATTGGGCAAAGCAGCACTGCATTAGGGACAGGCACATTATTTGTTCTAAAAAACAACTTTAAAAACGTGAGTTAGTTTTAAAGCTTACAAATAGAGGACAATATATTTCTTTACCTGCAGCTACTGTCAAATATGTGCTTTGTAAGTAATCGCTTAGTACACTACAGCCATAGCCATGCATCATGTCAAATGTGCAATGGCTTCGGTTAGGGTTTTAAATGCTTTAATAATTTAGAGTGAAACTTCCCTAGAAAAGAGGAGCGCCTCGAATCGTGCTCTGCTGGAAAAATATCAATTGAAACCAGAGACACATAAAAATGAAGGGCCTACAAATTCTGTAAATATTATGCTGTCCCTCTGTTTACTTACAGAAACTAAATCATGCACAACAACGAGGAAGGTGCATTCTGGTTAACAATATATTGAAAACAGCCTGACAATATTTATCACAGGATGTCAGGGGAAAAGAAATCACAGATAATAGATGGTGCATTTTAACAGCTTCTCAAGATCAAACCAAGAGCAATGACATGCCATTTAAAGGCGCTGATATGCACTTTAATCAATCATTGCACTTGATGCGCATAAGATGCCTGACTCACATTTAAATATTTAAACCATAAAGTTTTACAACAGCTTACATACATGTCCCTACCTATGGCAATAATTCTATTATTGTAGGCCGAAAAAGTAGAAATACATTTACATAATTCTTAAAGAAAAAGACAACAAGGCAGCAAATATAGCTGCTATAGAACCCAGATACTTTTTAAATAGAGCCTGCATTGCGTCTGTAAAGCGTATTAAAGCTTTCAGGTACCAAAGCACCGAAAGCTTAGTCAGATTCTTATCTCACTTATTCTTTAATCAGTGATTTCAATAAATGTATGCTGCATTGTATTTAAACAGTTATCGTTAGGATGTTTGAGCTAATACATCATTAAAGTAAGATGCAAGTTTAGCTTATTTATTTAAACTGAAAAGGGTTTTGTAGAAAATAATGATCACACTCAGCAAATTAATTATTTGAGTATTCTTTGGACTCAAACATCAAATTTGGTGAATGCTAGCTAGTGTGTCACAGTGTATTTCTTATTTCAAGGTCCAGTACAATGCCGTGTAAACTGTCCTCATCACTGACAACCTCTGAGCAGTCACCACATGCCAGTACTACAGATGCCCAGCACTTTCTGAGAGATGTTTTAATAGGTGTTAAGTGAGTACAATAAGAGTTAAATTAGTCTTTATTAATCCTCCTAGGAACAGCCACAGCACAGCACCCAGGGACCATTTTTAGCTTCGAGTCAGTGCCTTGATCAATAGCAGTGAGATTTGTAACACTGAACATGCAGGTCTTTTGTTATGGGACATGCAAACAGGGAATGATGATTTGAAACTCCATACAGGAAGGCCACAGTTGGTCCCTGTGAGGTTTGAACCAAAGCCCCACAGACAGCGCATAAGATTCCAGGGTGCCTAGAGTTATGGATACTCATTTTGTTCTCTAATAAGGGAATTAAGACTTTACAAACGATCTGAATGGTGCCTAGATGAATTAGGAAATTTGGTAGGTGTGCAAAAACAGTGCATCTCTATAGTGACACCACACTTGTGAAGCTAAATGAAGAAAATTGGGGATAAAGAATAAACACTAAACAATGCCACAACATTTATTCTGTTGTTTTCTTCTGTCCCCCTCACACAGCACTATTCCAATCCCATTAAAAAACTGTTCAAAGGGGTCTGTTAAGAGACTAATAATTTATTCATTAGCATTAGGTGTGTGGTTTGTTCATAATGTGTGCTCTTGATAATGACTACAACAGCTACAGTATTTATTGCAGCAAAACTGCACCCAACAGTTCTCATTTATCGCACAAATACAACACAGTTTATTACTCTTTTACCTGCCGCCGTCATCAATTCACGACAACTAAAACGCATCCAAAATTCAAGTGAGTGCCACACGTCACGTGTCGAGCGTGAATACCTTCATACACCATGTACATGTGTGTCGTTTTCATGGGTACAGACTATTTCCTCAAGCACAGTCAAAACACTCAAATATTGTGTTATGCTAAGCAGTTCTGTTTTCCTAACAAGTTGTACTTCATGACCGAGCCTGCAGAACAGGGTCTGGACAGGGTCTCTCTGTCAGAGAGCAATGAGCCCTGGTCTCTCTTTCTGTCACCAGTTTACTCTGTCTCTTCTACAGGGCCCCTAAAAACTCACCTGGTTTCCTTTGACACAACAAACGTGACTAACACCGCTGATCCTAACCATGAACCTACACTAGATGATGATGGAAAGTAGCGCTGCAGAACCAGCTCTTCAAAAAGCCTGTCGCTGATTATTCACATGATCAACATTTTAGGCCAAATTTCTATCTCCAATACTGCCAAAATTTCACCAGTTTGTACAATTCTTTCAGGCTTTCTTCCTGAACACCTGAAAAACTATGAATTACTACATTTAAATGTAAAACTTTACAACAAATCCCCAGAAGGCACTAATAAAAAATAAGAGAAAAAGAGTATTCATGACCGTCAAACAGATGCTAAAATGTTTCTTCCTTTTCTAAAATGGGATGTAATCACATTTGCCAGTAATGTAAAATGTTTAAGCATTAATTCTTGCCTCAGTATCCAATAGCTTTCACACTTCAAATGATCAGTTCTCAAGGCCCTATTCCTTGGAATGGGCTCTTAGCTCTCATTTTATATAGATGTTTTAGTTTAGAAGAGGAAATTTGGTTACACTTTACATTAACCATATCCTGATGTATGCGAGGGGAAGGATTAGGGTCCGGGGTTCGATTTCAATAGGAGCTGGGGAGGAATTCTCCAGGTAGACCGCACATTAGAATTTAAACAATATGGTGAGGGAAAGAGGGGTTGAGGTGCAAAGGCATATGGGGTTAAAGCAAGCACAAGCATGTGCAGCAATTCAAATCTCCAGCTCCCCATAGACTGGGCCTGTGACAGCACAAGTTCGAGGTAGGATCACGGCGATTCCCTGAGGCAGGAGACATGGCCTTCTTAGACAATAACTGCCCTGAACTTCTGCTCTTGAAGCGAAATCAAGTCAAATAAACTGCTGTGATGTAAACCTCACGACCTATCAATTACTGGTCTCTTCCACAACATGTAAACTCATAACAGACAATGCCCCCTCAGAGAACTACCACTAATACCACTCACATTATTCTTACTCACAAAAAGTTTAATACGATTACTGGAATAGAGAAGAAAAGTCTCAGAATATATTTGTAGTAAAAATGTAACAAGGCAAAATAATACAATATGTGCAACAGTTTTTTTTTAGGTGAAATGAAACTTCTGTGGCCAAACTTTTGATTGCACTGTGTGTGCTTGGTGTTATGATTTCTGTTATTTGACCCTTCCTACATTGTTACAATCATTACCAGAAGAATGTTTCACCTTGAGCACATGCAACAAGCATCAACAAATAAAAGTCACATTTCATTGCTGCAATGAGCCGCTGGACTGCAATCAAGCCCAGCATTGTGTAAAATATGGGAAGAATTAGATCCAAATCAAGGTTACTAAATAACACAAGTTATCCAGCAGGATTATAGAGCCAGTGTCTTTGCTGTTTTGTATTTATTTATGTAAATATTCATATTTTGATGTGTATTATCTATTTTCCTTGACCATTTTGCTAGTCACAAATTAAGATTTATTTTTAAACATTTAGTTATTATTTCTAAGGTAATTTTTATGTCATAAATATCAAAACATAATAGATTTTTTGCTGAGGCGTCTTGCAACAACCAGTGGAAAATACATTTCATCTTCCAAACTTTTTCTCAAACTTTTGCTGTCATAAAATGTAACTTTATTCCGTTGGTGTAAAATAGAGGCCTCTTCACAAAAGCATAAACATCACAGTCAAATTGTCAGAATTACAAATGTCATCATCAAACTTGAATGCCTTCGTATCAGGTGTCATTAACACTGCAGCCAAATAAAAGGGACACAGTAAGAATGAAAGCCAACCCATCGATCTAAAGCAGCGTGCATGAGAAACGAGTAGTTAGTGTTGTCACATAAACATACCCTAATGACAGCGGAGAGTAATCAAATGATTAAAACACCTTTCTTTCTTTCTTTTTTTTCAAGCCCCAGGCCTACAGCCACAAAGCGCGCCTCGTCAGCACAACCTTCCTGAAAGTAACCCTCAACATCTCAGCGGTTAATCAAATATCGACTGGCCTGCAGAATGACGTAATGTTGGTCACGTCGCTGTTCAAGAGAAAAAGGAACGTAAATTTCATGGGAACAGGAGC